CTATGAACAAATTTTCCCTTTTGCTTTTTCTCACCCCTCACAGGTTACCTTTCCACTTGATTCTACTTTTATTGACACAAAACCAGATCAATCTCCTTCTCTTATTTTTTCCAGATCATGATTCCCTTCCTGTCCAGATCACAGAACCAATTACTTCCCCTACCAACACATTATCCACTGACTTTTCTTCCCTAGATACACCAAGTCTTGTTACTTCTTGTCCTTTTCCTGATAATCGTATTCCTTCTCTTACTCTCCGGAGATCCAGCAGGAGTGTCCATCCTCCTATTTGGACACAAGACTTTGTCTGTCCTACTATCCCTCATTCCTCCTCAGCCAATCACGTACACTATCCCATCTCTAATTTTGTTTCTTATAACACTATTTCACCCACATATAAAGCCTTTTTATCAAATCTGTCCTTGGTTGAACCCTCCAGTTTTCATCAAGCATCACAAGACCACAATTGGGTGGATGCTATGAATAAAGAAATCCATGCCTTAAAACTGAACTACACTTGGTCTTTAGTACCCTTATCTCCTGGAAAGTTCTCATTGGTTGTAAACGGGTTTATAAGTTCAAGTACAAAGCTGATGGAACCTTGGACAGATATAAAGTACGTTTGGTTGCCAAACGGTACACACAGCAGGCTAGTATTGACTATTCTGAAATTTTTTCCCCTGTTATAAAAATGGTTACTGTGAGGACCATTTTAGCTTTGGCTTCTATGCTTCATTGGCCTCTATTTCAACTTGATGTTGATAATGCCTTCTTGCAAGGGGATTTGCAAGAAGAAATATACATGACACTTCCTCAGGGTTTTCCATAGCAAGGGGGGCAAAATAATCTTGTGTGCAGGCTGCATAAATCCTTATATGGTTTGAAACAAGCCTCCAGGGCCTGGAATTATAAACTGACTTCAACTTTGTTGCATGGTGGTTTTCAACAGTCCAAGTCAGACTACTCTTTGTTCATTAAGACACTGAATTCTCATATTGTTATTTTACTGGTCTATGTGGATGACATTGTGATAACTGGAAATAATCATAATTTGATTCATCAAACTAAGAAGCTATTGCATTCCAATTTTAAGTTGAAAGATTTGGGCATGTTGAGGTACTTTTTGGGGTTTGAGGTAGCTAAATCAAGTAAAGGCATTAGCTTATGTTAGAGAAAGTATGCCCTATAGCTTATTTTTTAGTCTGGATTATTAGCTTCTAAGCCATCTAGTGTTCCTATGGAATCCCATTTGAAACTTACATCAACAGCCTATGATGATCAGTTTCCCACTGACAGTGATTCTTTACTTCCTGATCCATCAGTCTATCAGAGATTGATTGGCAAGCTTCTGTATTTGTGCATGACCAAGCCTGATTTGAGTTACTCTGTGAATGGCAAGCTCCTATATTTGTGCATGACCAGACCTGATTTGAGTTACTCTGTGAACTTATTAATTCAGTTCATGCATCAGCCTAAACAATCACACATGGCAGCAACCCTTAGAGTTGTCAGATATGTGAAATCTACTCCAGGTTTGGGTCTTTTTTTTTCCCGCAACCAATTCTCTGAGTTTATCTGCCTATAGTGACTCTGATTAGGCCTCCTGTTTGATGACTAGAAAATCAGTTATAGGCTATTGTATTTTTCTTGGTTCCTCACTCATTTCCAGGAAATCCAAAAGGCAGGCTACTATCTCAAAATCTTCTTCAGAAGTTGAGTACAGGGCCATGGCCTCAACTATTTGTGAAGTGATGTGGATAGTCCAGCTTCTCCAAGAACTTGGTTTCTCCAATTTGTCTCCAATTTGTCTCCTATTCCTCTGCATTGTGATAATCAGGCTGCTCACTACATTGCTTCGAATCCCATGTTTCATGAGCGGACCAAACATATAGATATCATATGTCATATGTATGGGAATAGCTTCAAAAGGGCCTCATTAGCACTGCCTACATCTCTTCATCTGAGTAGCTAGCTGATATTTTGACTAAGGCTCTTGGGAACGAACTTCATCATCATCTTTTAGGCAAGTTGGGTGTGCTTGATCTCTACCACCCTCCAACTTGAGGGGGGGTATTGGAAGTTAAATATTGTTAATGTAGTTAGTAGTTAGTTATTGGTGTTAACCGTAGTTAGTTAGTTAGTTAACATTATTGTATTTGTATATAAGAGGTACAGTACATTCAATAAAGATTGATTCAGTTTTCCCCAAATATCATTCTCTGCTTTATCATATGACAGGTAACAGGTTCCACCAAATTCCTAATTGGAACTGACCTTGTAAGGGTCAGATCCGGTTTTACCCTAAAAATTTGCCCACCCTTACACATTATAGATGCAAGAGCACAAACTCTCTATCAAACAAATTTGAGGCGTCTTATAGGATTAAAAAAAAAAAAAAAATTAAAAACATTCCATCATGTAGAGTGACGTTAGAAGCAAGAGGTGTCCTACAAGATCATGTTCCTATGTTGTTCTCCTAAGTGCTATTGCTAGTGAAATTCCATGTGTAATAGCATATAGCTGCTCTAGTAACACCAATGTTTATAAGCTAGCATATAAAGAAACTAATCAAATTAAGCACATATATTGTAAAAGTAAAACCCATTTGAGGGTTATGCATTTTTCATTTGGAGAAGTGACAAAATATAGCTAATGGCTTAATTACTTCAAATGTGTGCACAGTTATTAAAAAGGAAAATGATAGAGTTATCGAAAATTATACACCGAATTCGTGCACAGAATGACGTAGCAAAATCCTAACAGTCGATTAATATTAATTTATAATGAATCAACAGTCAGAATTGCGCCACGTTATTCGGTTCACGAATTTGATGTACATCCTTCGATAACTGTAGCATTACTCTATTAAAAACTATGTTATAATTTGTGTCAAAAATGTGATACTCCCTAAAATTCCCCAATATACATCGAGTCAAGCTATATCAACTTGATTTTTTTTTCCCTTAAATGGTGCCATAAACTAACCTAAATAGATAACGTGATATATGTCTTCCTCATATAAATATTTTCTTGAATCATTCTTCTACCAGGCAAGAGTTGTGCTAACGACAGTCACGCCTAGAACAAACACTGCATAACTCAGTAATACGTGTCCCAGAAGAATAAATTATTAATTTTAATTTATTAAAATATTATTTACTTTTAATTTTATTGACAAAACACGTGTCAGGAGCTATGCAACCGTTCTTAAAATAATAATAATAATAATAATAATAATAAAAAGAATATATTTGGTAGGCTTTATCATTCAATACACATGTGATTTTGATTATACAAAAAAGTAAACCCAATTTTAATTTTGTTGATTCAAGTTCATGTTAATATGTATAAATTTTAAGAATGCAGAGTTTACGAACAAAGAAGAAACAACCGGATTTGCATTATTTTATGTCTTGATTTTGCTTTTATCACTTTCTGTCTTCAGTCAAATAAATAACTAACACTATAAACTGAGCAAGAATGTGAAATTGGGTGAGTATTATTAAAATAAATTTATATTAAACAAATTATACAGTAAAACCTCTCTATAGTCATAATGTTGGAACTAACTAATTTTATTACTATACAGAGGTTCTAACTTAATGGATGTGTAATTACAAAAATTATAGTTTTGATTTCTTATTTTATAATTCATATTTTAGTAGTACAGTATTATAATTTCAATTCATATTTTGTAATATTAGGATTTCAATACAGCGTTTTAATTACCTACTTTTGAAATAGATAAAAGATCGTTTCTTAGAACCAGCAAAAATAAGTCTCATAGAATTGTAAATACAGTTGATGCATGGTCAATTGATGTGAAGTTATAGACAATTGTCAATGATTTTAAGCGCTGCAAAATTAGGACCATTAATGTCAATGAATTGTAAGTTACAAATGAAGTGGATGAGGAGAATAAAAGAGTCACTATAGAATTGGGTGATCAGATTCTACAAATTCACTACACTAATCAAATAGATATTAATGTCTTCTTCGATTTTCCAAATGAGCAACAAATCGTGTATACTTTAACCAAATGAGAAATCATTGTTGCAATTAGACAAGAAGAGAAAGGAAATAATCCTAAGGATAATAGTACAGAAATTCAAAAGTCTTGTGCCATGAAGCTCTAAACATGTTTGAGAAACTAAAATATTTTGGCTTCAACAAGAAGGTATCCATGCTAACGAGCTATTACGTACTCGTAACGTAAAATATGTGATAACAACTCTAAAACATAAATTATTGTCCCAAATAATTTTAAATAAATATTTTATTTCATTTTAAACCTTTAATTTTACGTAACATATATTTTTTTATAATATATAGATAATTATTACTATGTAGGGCAATTTTCCTTAAAACGGGAATTAGAAAAATTATAACTTATTACAATATATAGTTTATTCTTATTTATAACTATCTCAAATTAGAACTAGAATTTTTTATAATTATGTAGAGTTTATTTTTATGTAGGGTATTACTATAAAGAGGTTTTACTGTACGATTTAATAATATGAAAAATAATTGATGACTCATACCTTATATTATTTGTACGGGTAAATCCACTTGTGGGTACAACTGTACAAGCCCATATTGTCAGTTCAAAATTGATATAAAATTTTCCATTCTTCATGGAATTTGAGCAAGATCTTTAGGCTGAAACTATCCAGCCACCAGAATTCCTATAAACATGATCAACTACTTATCTCAATCCCCAAAAGCATGCCAATAATGATAAGCAAATCTCTCAACTGGAATATAAAGAAATAATCTAAGCTTATGTATCTCAGATCGTCACCGAATGGTGCCTGATTGTATTTGGTTTTATAGTTGAAGCTTAGTTACAGTACTAATTAGATTGTTAAGTGCATATGAATTCAATTCCTTGTCTAAACAAAACAAGTGTTAGAATTGTCTCAGTTTCTTGTAAAGACAAAGTTGAGTCTATACAAGAATGTATCAAGAGGGAAAATTGTGAAATCCTTACTGTATGTTTGACTGTTTACAAGTTCTCAAATCCTGACTCTGAAAAGTTGCATACCATTACAAATTCTTTTGCACAGCAAAACATTTCTTATCTTAGAAAGTATGAATACAGAAAGCAGAAATAAAAAGGAAAAACTAAAACAAAATATAGCTTGCTGGACAGCAATCCTAGTTCTTTTCCACTGAAATAGACAATCTACTATAACTATCTGATCTTTGTGGAACACGTACATCATGAAGAACTGCCTCTACATTATTCACCACTGCCTGCACACTGTGCATCATCAGCTTCCTTCTTATTCTTTGCTGCTGCACTACCAAAACTGATGCTGTCGTTGGAAAATCAGGCGAAGCAAGCATATCCCCGATGACTCCAAGCTCAGGGCACTCGCTCCATGCCCCAAGTCCTACAAGCATTGCTGACTCTTGATGGTAACTTCCTACCAGAATCAAATCATAACAATCTACCAACGCCATTAGACATTCAGATAGATTAGGCCCATTTTTCACCACCTCTTCTATATACTCGAAACGCTTGTTTCCTATGTTTGAACGCATGTATTCATCAATCAAATCACTGCCGTGTTTTCTATCTTTAGAGTTTTCATCTCCAAACTGAAGGAACCTGATGACTGCAAGGTGAACAGATTCATGTCTAGCCATGCGAAAAGCATAAGACAGTGACTCAACATCATCTGGACCGCCAATGAACACAGCAGCAACATGGAATAATGATCGACGGGTGAGAACAGAAAATGATCCGCTCAGGATTCCTCTATCAACAAGAATTCCAACCGAACATGGTGCCTTCTCGAGGACATTGATGTTGAGCGTTTGGATGGAAGGGTTCACAAACTCAACACCACCATCAATAGCCCATTGTTTATGAAATGGCATGATTACAATTGTGGAACGTTTGTCGGAAGCCATTTGACAGATTTGATCATACATTGTCTGGATATGAGATATTGAAGTGAATGATTGAACTATAGCATTGCCTTCATTATGCTCCTCATAAATGCTTAATGCATTCACAATTGGGCCTGTTGTTGGCGTGCTTGTCTTACTGGTTCCATCGTTCAAGAAAAATCGAGGGGCGGTTCGCCCTTCAAGCTCGACAAGAAGCAATGCTGTAACAAAAACGGGGCTGTCTTTGGCGGCATATGAGGCATCCAAGAGGTTTACAATTGTGGGAATGCTGTCTTGGTTGTGAATGCAGACCAAAATTCGGAACTCTGAATGACGCTTGCAATGTTGGATGGTGCTTCTGCTGTTTGAAATGTATTGGCTTTCAGGATCATAGAGTAGTTTTATCAATGGGGTTATGATTGCCATTACTACCATTACTGATAAAACAGCTAGGACAAAATATTCTTCAGTTAGAAGCTGTCAAAATAAACAAGCTGTGATTATTTCTCTGTTAAATCAAGTACAGTACCATTGAAAGTAATAAAAGGGATTTCGTTCACACCTTGGTGTCCTTCCATAGACTGTACATCATCAGATCGATAGAGCCTTTTGCATTCAAAATTAGTGCAAGCACTAATGCATCTTGTGTGGGCATCTCACAATAGATGCCTGGCAACATCACTGCTAAGATCTTGACAATGGAAGAAAAGACAACAACTATTGTCACAGTCCAAAAAGCATCAAATTGAATCTGGAAGACATCAGTTTCTATTCCTAGAATGGCAACGAACATGGGGAAAAAAAAATTTGTAATAAGAGTATCTAGCTTTGATACTAAAGCAGCTCCAAACGGCGGACCGTCAGGAATAACAAAGCCTAGAACTAATGGTCCGAGGCCATAATGCTGGCCTGCAATCTCACTCAAAAGTCCTGAAACGAGGACGAACACAAAAGCGTAAAAGATACACCTTGCATTAGGTTTCCCATTGGGTGAATTTTTTAACATCCACATTAGTGTTGGCCTGAAGATGAACACAACAATAGCCATAACAGCCACTGGTGAAAGAAGTGCCCCTACCATTGTTACCGTATCGGAATTCATAACAAAATTCATCGAGAAAGCAACCATGTTCATAACAATGGAAAATGTGTCAGCAAACATTGATGCAGAGAGAGCTAGGCGGCCAAGGTTAGTGTTAAGAATCTTGAGCTCATTTAGTAGAGTGGCGATTACTGGAGAAGCTGTTAGATGCTGTGATGCCGCTACAAAGAAAAGAGAGTTTCCTTTGAGAACAGGTTTTGTTAACCATAAGGATAGTCCTATAGGGAGCGTTGTTGAGAAAAGGAAGAGTGTAAAGCCTATTATCATGGCCTTTCGTCCTGGTCGAATCATCATGGCTAAATCCATTTTCAGTCCAAGTAAGAAGAGGAAGAACATAACGCCAGATACTGCTATATTTTTAAGAAGATTTAACCCTGCTACAGGGAACAACCCGTCTGTAAATTTTCCATGGTGCCCCAGCACTGATGGCCCAACTATTACACCACTCTGTTCACAATCATAATTCTGTTAGACACAACCTTTCTTTAATTTAACATAAATTTCAAAATCTTTTAGAATGAATGTATCATATAACCATGCATGATTGTGCAGAAAGAAAATAAATAACATGATTAGAAATGTTAGAGAAAGCATACAAGAATCTGCGGAACGATCTTTGGTTGTCCCATAGGCTTGAGAAGGAATTCGAAGAAGAGGGAGAATGAGGAAATGACAGAAAACTCAATTAAGAAAAGGGAATATGGGACGTTGAGAGGGTTGCCCTGGTACCATATATTACCATATACTTTTTTTTTTGTGTCTTGGCAGATGTAACTCCTGTTTCCCATGGTGATGCTCATTGTTGAAAACTCAGCCATTTTGTCTTTTAGATATGATGAAGAGATGAAACAAGAAAGAAAAGAAATAACAAGCCTGCGCAGGCAATGAGAGCAAGCAGGAGAGAGAGAGAGAGGTCAACCTCATATTTGGGATTTCCATTATTCTTTGATTGTTGACCTTCAATTGTCCCTTTTTTTTTCCCTTCTTTATTTAGGCCACTAATTCTTCGGTTTAATAGGATCCATATCATTTTCATTTTTTTTTTTTTTTTGAAAAAATTCATGGAAACATCCCACCCCAATTGTGAATGCAAAACCACCACAAGATCTAAAAGCAAAGAAAATATTCTTTGTACTGATCTAGTGCATGGAATATTGATATAAATTTTCCATACTTAATAGAATTTGAACAAGATCTTTTGGCAGAAACTATCCTCGTAAACATGATTAAACTACTTATCTCAATCCCCATAAGCATGCTTAAAATGATAAAGTAAATCTCTCAACCGGAATAAAAGGAAATGATCTTACATTATTGAGGTTCATGAGCCTGTCCCCTGTGTATTTGGGTTTATAGTTAAGCTGAGTTACAGAACTTGCAATAATATATTCATGCAAATGGGTATCTTGCTATTACAATCTAAAAGCTTTTGACATTTGAAACTTCTACCATCATTTTGCGCTATTTTCTGCAACTTGGTTCCTTTGCAAGGGTAACTTCACTGAAAAGTCTGATAATGTGAAATATTTTTGTTCTGTTTGCATGCCATAAAGCTGACAATCTTTACCTTAATACCTGGAGAAGTATTTTTAGCTGGCATGGCTGATCTGAAAGACTAGTATTTCTACTTGACCCGAATGATTTGTTTTTTGTTTTCCTATATGTTATCCTAAGTATATTTTAATTAGATTGGATAATTTTATCATTCCTTGAATATTGCCTGTGAAATGTTGCATGCCATTTTTTTGTACTACGAAACATTTCTTATCTGTCAGAAAGCATGAATACAGAAGGCAGAAAGATAAAAAGAAAGACTAAAAGGAATAAATTTCCTTGTTACATAGTAATCCTAATTCCTATTTACTGAAACAGGCAATCTACAGTTACTCTCTGATCTTGGTACTCCTTGAGTTGGAACATCATGAATAACTGCCTCTACTTCATTTACCCCTGCCTGCACATTGGGATGCATCAGCTTCCTTCTTATTTTTTGCTGCTGCACTACCAAAACTGATGCTGCACTCAGAAAATCAGGCGAAGCAAGCATATCCCAGATGACTCCAAGCTCAGGACACTCGCTCCACTCCTCAAGTCCTGAAAGAATTGCTGAGTCTTGATGGTATCTTTCTACCAAAATCAAATCAAAGCAATCCACCAACCCTCTTAGAGATGCAGCTAGAGTTTCCCCATCTTTCACCACCTCTACATACTCGAAACGCTTGTTTCCCGTGTTAGAATGCTTGAATTCATTGATCAAGTAACAGTCACGTTTTCTATCATTAGTGTTTTCAGCTCCAAACTGAAGGAAGTACCTGGTGACCACAAGGCGAACAGATTTATGTCTAGCCATGCGAAAAACATATGATAGTGACTCAATATCATCTTGACCGCCAAGGAACAGAGCAGCAACCTGTAATAACAATCGACGGGTGAGAACAGAAACTGATCTGCTCAAGTTTTCACTGTTAACAAGAATTCCAACTGAACATGGTGCCTTCTTGAGGACATTGATGTTGAGAGTTTGGATGGCATGGCTTAGAGACTCAACACCACCATCAATAGCCCATTGTTTATGAAATGTCATGATCACAATTGTGGCACGTTTGTCAAGAGCCATTTGACAGATGTCATCATACACTGTTTGGAAATCAGAGATTGAAGTGAATGATTGAACTGTAACATTGCCTTGATTATGTTCCTCATAAATTCTTAATGCATTCACAATGTGTCTGGTTGCTGATGTGTCTGTTTCAGTAATTTCATTCTTTAACAATATTACTGGGGTGTTTCGCCCATGGAGCTCAACAAGAAACATTGCTGTGACGGCAATGGGGCTTTTTTTGGTGGCATGTGATACATCTAGGACGTTTACAATTGTAGGAATGTTGTCTTGATTGTGAATGGAGCCCAAAATTCTGAACTCTGAATCACGCTTGGAAGTTTGGATGGTACTTCTGTTTTTTGAAATGTATTGACTAGAAGGATGATAGAGTTGTCTGATCGATGGGGTTACTGCCGATTCTGATAGAACAGGGAGAGCATATCTTCTTCATTTAGAACCTGTCAAAATAAAAAGTTTGAGATTATTTATCGGATAGCATGGACAACAATATGAGCTGATTGATGAAAGACTATTGACTATTGGCCTGAAGATGAACACAACAATAGCTGTAAGTGCCACTGGTGAAAGAACTGCCCCTACCACTGTTATCAAATCAGAATTCTGAACAAAATTTGACGCGTAAGCAATTCCGTTCATGCCAATGACAAGCATGTCACAAAACACTGATGAAGAGAGAGCTTGGCGGCCAAGGTTAGTGTTAACAATCTTGAGCTAAGTTAGTAGGCAGACGATTACTGGAAAGGATGTTAGATACTGTGCTGCTGCTATAAATACAAGAGTTTCGATGGAAAAGTCTTGCTAAAATGATGGATAGTTCAATAGGAAGTGTTGTGAGAAGAAGAAGAGTCTAAAGCAAATTGTCTTGGCCTTTCGTCCTGGTCAAAACATCGTGGTAGGATCCATTTTCACTCCAAGAAGAGGAATAACATTAAGGCAAACACTGCTACTGTTTTAAGAAGGTTTTGCTCCTGCTATAGGGAAGAAGCTATCTGTAAATTTGTTATGAAGCCCCAGAATTCATGGGCCAAATATTATACCACTGTTTACATGCATAAATCTGTTAGATACACACAGAAGATAGCAGGAATAGCCTTTCTTTAATTTAACATCAATTTTAAAATCATTTAGAACTAATGTACCTTAATGCAGAAAGAAAATAATAACATCATTAGAATTGGAAGAGAAAGCATGCTGCGCTACAATCTTTGATTGTCTAGTAGGCTTGAGAAGGAATTCAAAGAGTAGGGGGGCAGAGGATATGACAGAGAACTCCAGCATGAAAACAGAATGTGGGACTTTGAGAGGGTTACGGTGGTGCCACACACAAGAAGTTATTATTCTTTTTCTGTCTTGGCAGATATAAGTCTTGTTTCCCATGGTGATGGTCATTGTTGATACTATTATGCTTCTTTTTTTTAATCAAGAGATGAAACACAAAAGAAAAGAAACAAAGAATAAGACAGAAATTACAAGCCTGCCAAGGAAGAGAGAGAGAGAGGTTTCATCCTCATATTTCATATTTGGGATATTCATTTTTCTCTGGTTGTTGACCTTCAATGACCTTTTCTTTCCCTTCTTTATTTAGGCCACTAATTCCTCGGTTTAATAGGATCCTTATCATTTATTTTTTATTTTTTTCTATTTTTGAGAAATTCATGGACAGAACCCCACCCGATATTTTGTTGTGCATGCAAAACCTCTACAAGAACTAAATTAAAGAAAATATACTTATGATCGAATTTGATGTAGCTCAGACCTTCTTTGAATGGTGGTTGGATGTGCCTTGGCAACATCTTCAAACTATAAAAATATATATGTATTTGGTTTATATTTGAGCTTAGTTACAGAACTAGTATTGAGAAATATAATCTGTTTCTAATTGGTAAGCAGATTGGGAAAATTACTTCACCAAAAAAACAAGCAATCTATGCATGCAAATGGGTATGTTGCTATTACAATCTAAATGCTTTTGACATTTGAAACTTCTACCATCATTTAGAGGTCTCTTCTGCAACTTGGCTCGATCGCAAGGGTAACTAGATTGTCAAGTGCTTATGCAATTCAATCCCTCCTCTAAACAAAACCAAGATCAATGCAGGCCTGCAAACCGATTTTGTCACTTAAGAGTTCTCAGAGTCTTTATAAGAATGTATCAAGATGAAAATTATGAAAACATTATTGTTTTCTTTCCATCCGTAAAAAATTAATTGCTTTAGTGAAATGTTTGATAATCTTTATTGTCTGTGTTCAGAATTAAAAACTGAAACTGGTGGGTGAATGTACTTGTCTTACCTTGAGAATGATGAAATATCTTTAGTTTGCATGGCCGGTCCGAAAGACTACTTCTACTTGACCTGAATGTTTTGTTTTTGTATCACCAGGACTGAAACAGAATTATTGAAGTCTGAAGAAGCCAGCAGGTCACCTACTGACCCTAGTTCTGGAAACTCGCAACATTCTGATAGGCATGAAGTGATTGGCAAATTATGTCGCCGCCCCACTAGCACAAGGTCATATTTCTCTGCCTTTTCTCGAATCATCCTAGCCAAATCATCTCCTTCTGTGACAATCTGTTCTCTGTATATTGTATTATTAGTTCCTAGCATTTCATCTTTTTCCTCAAAGCCCATTGAAAGATCATCAAGAGGTGAACGTTTTGTAGTGTGGTCACAATTATTGGACAGAGTAAAATGAATAACTGTCAGGTGAACTCTGGAGCATACAGCCATCCTCGTGGCATAAGCCACTGCCTCAATATCATCTTCACTACCAAAATAGTATACAACCACACTGTAGATGGATTGTGATACAAAAGTAGATGATGAGATATTCATTTTGCTGCGATCAAGAAGAATGCCTACCGAAGAAGGGGGCTCATCTAGTACCTTAGAGTTGAGGTTCCTCAAAGCTTGGTCATCTGCAATCAATTCTCCTTTGGCATTCCATTTCCTATGAAATGGAAGTAGTATTAAAGATACTGACTTGTCAAAGGCCATCCAGCAAATGTCTTTATGCATCTCACTGGGTAGGGAAAATGCTGAGAAGACTTGAAGGTTGACAGATCTTGAATGTTCAGCTTTGAAGAACTTGAAAATATTGATGGTAGGTTGTTGATGTGCGCCACTTGAATTGGAAGCCTTTTGGCCTAATTGATGATTGATTATGATTGGGGTGGATTCTCTGCTAATTGATTCCAAGTAAAGTCCGAAAATTGATAAACCTCTACCTTTAGAAGGATTTGAAACTTCTAGTAGCCTGACAGCAGCTTTGGCATCATCTTGTGTATGCGTGCAGACAAGTATACCCAAATATTCACTCTCAGCAGTATGCAGAATGTTCCTTTGCTGGTAGCCTGGATATAGTTTTGAAGAATCATGGAGCTTTCTCACAGCCAGTGGCACAACCATTGCGACTATCAGAATTACCACCACTGCCATGGTAAAATGTCCAGCATCAATTGTCTGAGACACAGACAGATCAGACAGGAGACACAAATTCAGAGATAGTAATCTCAATTATAAGTACAATGGAAAATTAAAAGATCAATTATGATACCTGCTTGTGAGAGTTCGTAGCAAATGTGCCTAATTCAACAATGCCTTTGGCATTCAAGATGAGAGTAAGAATAGCAGCATCTCGAAAACACATCTTCAAACGAATAGCAGGTACGAATGTTGCAGCCAATTTCATTGCTATACCCCAAGTCAAAGTAAAAGTTATTGAAGCAGGTGGCATATGGTTTAATTCCCAAATATTTGCTTTATATCCACAGTAACTTGCCAACACTGGTAGACTTAATCCTGTTATGATTGTATCTAGTTTCTCCACCAGGGCTGAAGCTAAAGGAGGCCCTGGAGGCACCGCCAAGCCAAATATAAAAGGTCCATAAAAAAACTGAATTCCCACTTTATCACCAAAAATTGCCACAACCATCACAAAAAAAACTATGATGATTATATAAATATTCTTTACAGGCTTCCCTTCTGTTGTTCTTCTGATGATCCAAAACATCAGTTTCCGAAGAAAGGTCATTATAAATGCAACAAGAGCAAAAGAAAGAACTGCAGACTTCACTCCTGCTCTTACTGAAGCTTCCTTCGTTATGTCTAAAAAATCATAAAAATTTACTATTAGAACACTAAATAAATCAGTGACTAAAGCTGTTGATAATGCTAGGCGTCCGATTTCGGAGTTGACCATTTTGAGATGCATTAGTAAGCAAGCTATTACAGGAAATGATGTTAGCACCATTACTCCTGAAAAGAAGTTAACCCAGTCTTTTGTAAACGCGTGCTTGTCTGCAGTTCTGCCTAATAAGGAAGAAATGAATGTGATTACTAATAAATTCATTGTAAGGCTCGCACAAAGACGCCATTCTCTTCTGCTGCATTTTTTTATAAGACTTATATCCATTTTCACTGCTATCAGAAACATAAAGATCATGTAGCTAACATATATCAATGCAGACACAACTTTTTCTGATTGTAGAGGGAACAAAACTTCTGATGCATCTGGCCAAAAGTGCCCCAACACACTTGGCCCCAAAATTATACCAGCCTGCAGTTACACCACACAAAATCATCATCAAAACCCATCTACTCAAATTCATTATCTCTATTTACATCCCTCCACACTCCATATAGCAGTTGAGAGTTCATAAGGTTTCATGAAATTCTGTCTTTTCATATTAAAACAACAACACTTGAGAGACTGGAATGTGAAAGAAGAGGAAATGAAAACGTACCAGGATCTCAGAAATGAGACGAGGCAAACCATAGCGTCTGAGTAACAAGTGAATGACAGAAGTGAGAATAAAAGTGACAGCAATTTGTAGATAAAGACGAAGCAATGCATGTTTAAGAATATTTCCGTCGTTGCTTTCATTCCAAATCCCATCAGAATAAACTGGAATGAATTGGTGACATGATCCATCGAGTCTGTTCTTCAAATCAGCATACGAAGTAGTGTTAATGTCCATGGCTCAACTCACGGAACTTATTCCCCCACCAAACAATAGCAACATCATTCTTGATATAATGAGAAGATTCAGTTTCGACTCTGTGGAGATTGTTTTGCTTTGCATGTAGCCAGTTGTGTTAACATTTTTAGAAATAATCCTGTTATATAGTTATACCATTTAGTTCAACCTAACAGACAGACCATTCGAGGGTGACAGCATGAATTTCTCGAGCTCACATCAAATATCAGTAATGGCAACATTCAATAATTGATATAATTCAAAGTAAAGGAGCCCACCAATTTAAGGGCAAAAGGATGAGAACAAGGACGTGTCATCTACTGATTTTTAAGGGGGTTGAAGATAAGAACAAAGGTTTAGGTTAAGTCACCGACAAGTGACGGTAGACGCAATTTTCCAAGCATTTTTTTATTTAATAAAAACAAAATTCTTTTGCCCTTTTTTAACCGTCTTTTAAAGGTTTCTCACACTCACCAATACAGTGTGCCGTTGGAGCTAAAACTAGGGCCCATTCCTTGCCCTTATTCCACCACATGCTTTTACACTATTGCCCTCTTAAAACTTAAATCATTCTAATAATACATAAAATAAAATAAAAAACACTGAAAATAGGTGTGAATTATATTATATCCTTTTAAATGTAAACAGAAATTCGGTTGTAAATATGAACAAAAATTCTCTAGTTAAAAAACATATTATTATTAGATTTATCAGTAAAATATCAATTTAATATGAAATCAATAATAGAATATCCTGATATTATAATTATATAGTATAATTATAATATATCAACAAGAACCCAAGCACTAATTACCTTTATTATTTCATATGAAATTACATTAATCATATAAAATGAAATAAAAATATACTTATGATCGAATTTGATGTAGCTCAGATCTTCTTTGAATGGTGGTTGGATGTGCCTTGGCAACATCTTCAAACTATAAAAATATATATGTATTTGGTTTATATTTGAGCTTAGTTACAGAACTAGTATTGAGAAATATAATCTGTTTCTAATTGGTAAGCAGATTGGGAAAATTACTTCACCAAAAAAAAAAAGCAATCTATGCATGCAAATGGGTATGTTGCTATTACAATCTAAATGCTTTTGACATTTGAAACTTCTACCATCATTTAGTGGTCTCTTCTGCAACTTGGCTCGATCGCAAGGGTAACTAGATTGTCAAGTGCTTATGCAATTCAATCCGTCCTCTAAACAAAACCAAGATCAATGCAGGCCTGCAAACCGATTTTGTCACTTAAGAGTTCTCAGAGTCTTTATAAGAATGTATCAAGATGAAAATTATGAAAACATTATTGTTTTCTTTCCATCCGTAAAAAATTAATTGCTTTAGTGAAATGTTTGATAATCTTTATTGTCTGTGTTCAGAATTAAAAACTGAAACTGGTGGGTGAATGTACTTGTCTTACCTTGAGAATGATGAAATATCTTTAGTTTGCATGGCCGGTCCGAAAGACTACTTCTACTTGACCTGAATGTTTTGTTTTTGTATCACCAGGACTGAAACAGAATTATTGAAGTCTGAAGAAGCCAGCAGGTCGCCTACTGACCCTAGCTCTGGATACTCGCAACATTCTGATAGGCATGAAGTGATTGGCAAATTATGTCGCCGCCCCACTAGCACAAGGTCATATTTCTCTGCCTTTTCTCGAATCATCCTAGCCAAATCATCTCCTTCTGTGACAATCTGTTCTCTGTATATTGTATTATTAGTTCCTAGCATTTCATCTTTTTCCTCAAAGCCCATTGAAAGATCATCAAGAGGCGAACGTTTCGTAGTGTGGTCACAATTATTGGACAGAGTAAAATGAATAACTGTCAGGTGAACTCTGGAGCATACAGCCATCCTCGTGGCATAAGCCACTGCCTCAATATCATCTTCACTACCAAAATAGTATACAACCACACTGTAGATGGATTGTGATACAAAAGTAGATGATGAGATATTCATTTTGCTGCGATCAAGAAGAATGCCTACCGAAGAAGGGGGCTCATCTAGTACCTTAGAGTTGAGGTTCCTCAAAGCTTGGTCATCTGCAATCAATTCTCCTTTGGCATTCCATTTCCTATGAAATGGAAGCAGTATTAAAGCTACTGACTTGTCAAAGGCCATCCAGCAAATGTCTTTATGCATCTCACTGGGTAGGGAAAATGCTGAGAAGACTTGAAGGTTGACAGATCTTGAATGTTCAGCTTTGAAGAACTTGAAAATATTGATGGTAGGTTGTTGATGTGCGCCACTTGAATTGGAAGCCTTTTGGCCTAATTGATGATTGATTATGATTGGGGTGGATTCTCTGCTAATTGATTCCAAGTAAAGTCCGAAAATTGATAAACCTCTACCTTTAGAAGGATTTGAAACTTCTAGTAGCCTGACAGCAGCTTTGGCATCATCTTGTGTATGCGTGCAGACAAGTATACCCAAATATTCACTCTCAGCAGTATGCAGAATGTTCCTTTGCTGGTAGCCTGGATATAGTTTTGAAGAATCATGGAGCTTTCTCACAGCCAGTGGCACAACCATTGCGACTATCAGAATTACCACCACTGCCATGGTAAAATGTCCAGCATCAATTGTCTGAGACACAGACAGATCAGACAGGAGACACAAATTCAGAGATAGTAATCTCAATTATAAGTACAATGGAAAATTAAAAGATCAATTATGATACCTGCTTGTGAGAGTTCGTAGCAAATGTGCCTAATTCAACAATGCCTTTGGCATTCAAGATGAGAGTAAGAATAGCAGCATCTCGAAAACACATCTTCAAACGAATAGCAGGTACGAATGTTGCAGCCAATTTCATTGCTATACTCCAAGTCAAAGCAAAAGTTATTGAAGCAGGTGGCATATGGTTTAATTCCCAAATATTTGCTTTATATCCACAGTAACTTGCCAACACTGGTAGACTTAATCCTGTTATGATTGTATCTAGTTTCCCCACCAGGGCTGAAGCTAAAGGAGGCCCTGGAGGCACCGCCAAGCCAAATATAAAAGGTCCATAAAAAAACTGAATTCCCACTTTATCACCAAAAATTGCCACAACCATCACAAAAAAAACTATGATGATTATATAAATATTCTTTACAGGCTTCCCTTCTGTTGTTCTTCTGATGATCCAAAACATCAGTTTCCGAAGAAAGGTCATTATAAATGCAACAAGAGCAAAAGAAAGAACTGCAGACTTCACTCCTGCTCTTACTGAAGCTTCCTTCGTTATGTCTAAAAAATCATAAAAATTTACTATTAGAACACTAAATAAATCAGTGACTAAAGCTGTTGATAATGCAAGGCGTCCGATTTCGGAGTTGACCATTTTGAGATGCATTAGTAAGCAAGCTATTACAGGAAATGATGTTAGCACCATTACTCCTGAAAAGAAGCTAACCCAGTCTTTTGTAAACGCTTTCTTGTCTGCAGTTCTGCCTAATAAGGAAGCAATGAACGTGATTACTAAGAAATTCATTGTAAGGCTCGCACAAAGACGCCATTCTCTTCTGCTGCATTTTTTTATAAGACTTATATCCATTTTCACTGCTATCAGAAACATAAAAATTATGTAGCTAACATATATCAATGCAGACACAACTTTTTCTGATTGTGGAGGGAACAAAACTTCTGATGCATTTGGCCAAAAGTGCCCCAACACACTTGGCCCCAAAATTATACCAGCCTGCAGTTACACCACACAAAATCATCATCAAAACCCATCTACTCAAATTCATTATCTCTATTTACATCCCTCCACACTCCATATAGCAGTTGAAAGTTCATAAGGTTTCATGAAATTCTGTCTTCTCATATTAAAACAACAACACTTGAGAGACTGGAATGTGAAAGAAGAGGAAATGAAAACGTACCAGGATCTCAGAAATAAGACGAGGCAAACCATAGCGTCTGAGTAACAAGTGAATGACAGAAGTGAGAATAAAAGTGACAGCAATTTGTAGATAGAGACGAAGCAATGCATGTTTAAGAATATTTCCGTCGTTGCTTTCATTCCAAATCCCATCAGAATAAACTGGAATGAATTGGTGACATGATCCATCGAGTCTGTTCTTCAAATCAGCATACGAAGTAGTGTTAATGTCCATGGCTCAACTCACGGAACTTATTCCCCCACCAAACAATAGCAACATCATTCTTGATATAATGAGAAGATTCAGTTTCGACTCTGTGGAGATTGTTTTGCTTTGCATGTAGCCAGTTGTGTTAACATTTTTAGAAATAATCCTGTTATATAGTTATACCATTTAGTTCAACCTAACAGACAGACCATTCGAGGGTGACAGCATGAATTTCTCGAGCTCACATCAAATATCAGTAATGGCAACATTCAATAATTGATATAATTCAAAGTAAAGGAGCCCACCAATTTAAGGGCAAAAGGATGAGAACAAGGACGTGTCATCTACTGATTTTTAAGGGGGTTGAAGATAAGAACAAAGGTTTAGGTTAAGTCACCGACAAGTGACGGTAGACGCAATTTTCCAAGCATTTTTTTATTTAATAAAAACAAAATTCTTTTGCCCTTTTTTAACCGTCTTTTAAAGGTTTCTCACACTCACCAATACAGTGTGCCGTTGGAGCTAAAACTAGGGCCCATTCCTTGCCCTTATTCCACCACATGCTTTTACACTATTGCCCTCTTAAAACTTAAATCATTCTGATAATACATAAAATAAAATAAAAAACACTGAAAATAGGTGTGAATTATATTATATCCTTTTAAATGTAAACAGAAATTCGGTTGTAAATATGAACAAAAATTATCTAGTTAAAAAACATATTATTATTAGATTTATCAGTAAAATATCAAGTTAATATGAAATTAATAATAGAATATCCTGATATTATAATTATATAGTATAATTATAATATATCAACAAGAACCCAAGCACTAATTACCTTTATTATTTCATATGAAATTACATTAATCATATAAAATGAAATAAAAATATACCAGTGGCATTTCTGTAAATAATACCAAAGAGAAGGTGCTATTACATGGTTATACCCTATATAAAGGAACAACTGAGGTTACAGCCTCACAGAAAGCCCATAAGTCTCAGCATCGTTATCCTTATCCACTATAAAGCTGCTACATTTTCGTAAGGGAAAATGGAGGTCATTTCTTCGTCCTCAACTTTAAATCCCGACGCTCCAATGTTCGTACCACTCGCCTATCGGACGGTCGAGGACTTCTCTGACCAATGGTGGGCCCTTGTCCAAAACTCGCCGTGGTTCCGTGACTACTGGCTCCAAGAACGCTACTTTGATCCCCAAATCGACCCTCTCTTCTCCGATTTTGACGATTTTGTTCTCCCCGACGACGACGATCTCTTTGACGACGGCGACTGCGGTCACCAACGTAAGTTACAACAAAAAAAAAAAAAAAAAAAAAAAGAAGATATTTTTTTCCCTAAAAAGCACAGAACTTTATTTTCTCTGAGCCAACTTGGTTACTGAGTTTTTGAGTTTTTTTTATATGTGCAGAGGCGGAGGAGATGGAGTCTGGGAAGGAGTTGGTTTCGATTGGGACGTTGAAATGGAAAAAGGGTCGAGCTTTGAATGAGAAGCCGAGGTATGCTGAGAAGGCTCCGAAGATCGTGAACGTGAAGGTGAGTCCGAGGCCGATTCAACAGCCTAGGTAGAGTGACTCGGCGGACGGCTGAGTTGAGACGGGTTGGTAGAGCAATCCGTCCTACTTTTTCAACGGTTGTTGTTTTGTATATAAGAGTCAGTCGGAGACTTGGATTTTAACTTTGAGTTGTACTTAGCGTAGAGCGGAAGTGATTGTAAATTCTGTAATAATAGCTTTCACTTGGCGTAATAAAATGTAATTTGATGGATTAAATGAGAAAATTTCAGTGTGAAGTTGCATCTAAGATTTCAATATTATTTAAGTAGTATTTCAATACATATTCCTCCAATGGTAAATTGGATGAAAAAACTCGTACAAATATTTGATCTTTAATGGCAGCAACCAATATAAAGATATAAATAAAGGTCAAGTGCTAAAATACTAACTTGCTAAGTTATTTTCTTGTGCTATTCCAATCAACAATCGAGTTGAGCTTCCTCCCAAGTGCTTGCAGATTTGCCGATCTTTTGCAGAACTCTGATCACTTCTTCTGTTGTGACATTACCAGTTACTATGACTTTGTTCAGTTGAGTATCCACGTTGTAAGTTTCAATATCTGCAAACGAAAACCAGTTTTGAGAGATAAATAACATTTAAGCAAAATTACAATTCATGAGAGAAGAAAAAGACATACCCTCTAACTTCTTGATGGCCTTTAAGATTTTCTTGATACACTCCTCACAGTGCAAGCCCACTTTCAGTTCCACGACCTATTGAATGAGCACGAAATAGTATGAGATGATGCAGAAAAAAAAAAAGTATAAAGAACTGGAACATTTGGTGGGTTAATTACTTACATTAGTCATTTTGATTGATCAGTAAGCTGTAAGTTTGGTAGAAGAATGAAGGATGAAGAAGAAGAATCATGCAGCTGGAAATTTAATGTTGGGCAAAGTGGCTGCCAGGCGTGTATAAATATATAGAATGGAGAGGGGGTGGTGAGGGTATGGGATTCTTTACTTGATTGATTGGGAATTTTACTTTTGTGAAAAGCTAAAAACTTTATTGACTTAAGAGGCATTAGCCAGCTCCAGGCTCGAAATGATGTATAGCTGTGACAATGTGGGGTGGAGATTTCTGGTTAATAACTTTTGTGTAACTGTGTTCACATCCTATTATAAGGAAAGTACAAATTAGTGTTGAAATATGAGAATATGAGTGGGGAGAGAGAGCTGCATTTCAGTTTCGTGACAGAACCAGAAATTGCTGCATTTCAGTTTCGTGACACAAACAGATACTGCATTAGAGAAAATTGTACCAACAAAAAGAGTAAAAGAAATTGGAGTATTGGACAATAGCACCTCTTGGTTTAGCTTTGGATACCCTTATAATCATAGGAGACTGTTGAAGTGATTAATTCCTGAAAATTATGGCACATTGAGAACAAAGAAATTGTTTTGAGTCTCCATTTTATTTAGTACCAATACCAACTCTTTGGTGTCGCCCCCAGTCAAGAATTGGAACTTTGCAATCACAGGCCAATATGCTTTCTCAGATGCCTTTCTTCGTTCATGTTTGAGTATGCTGGTGTCCTACGCGTATATAATTTGAACCACACCAATCCATCCTGAACTTAGTGGTACTTATGAAGCCCATTTGGCACTTTTTTTTTTATTTGTGCGTCTCTTCACCATGATGGGGTGGGGTAAAGGGATTGGGGAATTAAAGAAAGAAAAACACTTTTTAAGTTTTGTTTTTGTTTTCTACCAATTGGGATTCATAAGTGAAAAGAATCGAAGGATTATTTGTATTACTTTCAGAAAAGAAGCAAATATAGAATCATTTTAAGTTGAAAGATCTTCCTTCTTTTTTAAGTTATATTATTCTCTGAGTATTCGTCATCAATCAAGATCTGTTTAAGAATTAACAGTTTTGTAGAGATTCTTTCTGAATTTGGTAGTGTTTCTTGGAAAACACTTTCAAATATTTTTATCAACTGAAAGCATGTTCATTTTCATAAGGGTTTCCGAGCTCCCCTTACAACGTACGGCAGGCCGTTGACCTGATACATTAACTGCTCGCCAAGTGAGGACAATCAGATCTTCATGGTAACAAGTCATCTCAGTTAAAAAATATTACCCAATAAAAAAACGCCACATGTCACACAGTTGTTTCTCTGCTTCACTATTTGTTGATTGCCGTCCTCCAACAACATTCTTTTTTTTCTTCTGACAAGTTTTCCCTTGAGCTTTTTGTCCATCACAAAGTTTCTAATTTTGCTTAGACAAATTTTAAGTTAGGATATTGTTCTTCATGGGAAATGCACTTCGGCTCTTGTATGAGAGATGCGTCGAGCCTGCAACTTCAGATGAGTCAGGATCACTTGGACCTCATGGAGTTTCTGCAGCCACCGTCGGAGTCTCAGCTCTCGCCCATGATCTCTTCAACTTTGAGATCAACTCACAGGTACTGTTTCTGGGAATCTTTTGTGACAACTTTAAGTCAGTTTTGATGAAATAATTTTTTTCTCTTACTGTCGAGAGGTTTGCTTATAGCTAATTATAAATCTAGGTTATCTTAACTTTTATCCGGGTTGAATTGAGATCCATGTGTGGTTTTATCAGGTTCCGGAAGGGCTTAGTCAGAATGTTAAATCGTCCAGGAAGGCTCAGGCCAATTGGTAAAACACTTTAACTTGATGTTCTTGAAGGAATCAATTCTCTTGTTATAAGTAACTGAACAACATACTAGCTGTGTGAAGGTATAGAAAAATATTAGAAACATGGAAGCAAGCAAAGCCTCCTCCAAAAACAGCAGAGGAAGCAACTAGGCTTGTCGTTGAGACCTTGAAGAGACACCTAAAGCAAGATGTTGAGGTACTGATGATTGCATAATTCTTGAAAGTTGAAACCATAGTTGATGATGTGCTAATATAATCACTGCTAATGTGTAGGGCTTGTTGGCTTTTTATGGCTTGCCTCTTCCTCATACTATTGTTCAAGTTTCTGCTGGTGTCCCGACATCATTACCAGAGGGGGTGAAGTTTGAAATGCAGTCGCTGCCGGTGGTAATGAAAAACTTCATAAGACTGCAGATTATCTTACATGACAGTAGATAAAATTGGTTTGTATTGATGATGATTGCAATGGAAGCAGGTGGATGCAAGAGCAGTAGCAGATGGGGATACAATTACAGTATATGTACGCACGGATAGCCCGAGGGAGTCGTCGTGTGTTCCCAGAGATGTACAAGTGGCAGCTGTGCGAAGATCACAAGCTAGAGCAGAGAGGAATTATGCAGAAGCAGATGCACGTCACCAAGAAATCATTAATGCAGGATACAGGTAGGTTTTTGCATCTATTTGATCTGAATGCACTTGTTCAATACCTGAAGAAATGATTTCATATTGTCCGCGTCCGGTTGCTTTAGGGTAATAAATCTTCCAAACAATGAAGAGGTTCTTGCTCGAAAATACCGCATTCGATTAAGGTAACTATCTTCTTACTGGATTCAATCAAGCAAATCTCTCTGTGCTTAACGTTTTGAATGGGAGCAGAGGTATAGATGCACCTAAATCTTCTTACTGGATTCAATCAAGCAAATCTCTCTGTGCTTAACGTTTTTGAGTGGGAGCAGAGGTATAGATGCACCGGAGGGTGAAATGCCATATGGGGAAGAATCAAAACAGGAACTGCTTAAGCTTGTTCACGGTAAGAGCTTGACAATCCTAGTCTATGGAGAGGATCGATATGGTCGCTGTGTTGGAGATGTATACAGCAATGGCATATTTGTACAGGTACACTGTTTTGTTCAACAATGGTTATGGTTCTCACTCACCCATTGTGAAGAAAAAAATCTGCTAATCTCACAATTCTCAAACAGGAAGTAATGCTCAAGAAAGGGTGTGCATGGCATTACAATGCATATGACCATCGCTTAGAGCTCTCAACAGTATGTGCTCAGTTAAACTTGCTGGTTTTTTCTACTACTTTGTTCAATCTTCCAATACTAAACCTTGAACTATAAACTACCAGTGGGAAAAAGAGGCTCGAGCAAAGCGAGTTGGTTTATGGGCTGCATCAAACCCAGAGAAGCCATGGGAATGGAGGAAGGACAGACGTGAAGGCAGATGAATAACTGTCAAGACAACTGTGAACTGTTTGTGTCTGCCTCCAGAAACCATATTGCCCAGGCACAACCAAACCAGAGTCAATATTCACAATTTGGACCTGGAATTGTTATCAAAGAAGAGAAACAAAGTAACATTGCAAGATAACTGCGAGTTTATGTAATATCTTATTCAGAACTTTTCTAGTTTGGTAGGTTGGCTTTTAATAATTACTGTTGCAGTATATTTGACAATTGCTTCCCTCATGTAACTTCAGCATGTTTCTGTTGGTTAAGCAAATGCATATGTCTTTGTAAGAATACTGAAGAAAATTGTCAATAAACAACACAAGGCCTCAAATTGAAGATGACATGAAAGAGACGCAAAAACAAGAGAATTTTTTAACTTGAAATAATTCATAACATCACTTCTTATGTGCCTGTGAATGTTCTCTTTGCTGCAGAAAAGGAAATATAAATTCTATTGAAAGCTCAAAATTCAAAATAATAAATACAGTGAATTGAGGGTGAAAACATACCTAGAGTAAAAATTACAAAGGAAAGAAAATTAAACAATTTTTTGGAGATTAGAGATATAAATAGGCTCAACACTTGAGTGAAAATGTGATGACAAAACTGGCACAGCCCAAGATTCCACTGCAAAATAAAAGAGGCATAATTCAGTACACAAGAATTCAGTATCTAGGACTTGCTATATTTCAAGTTATGAGAATCGTTTATCATGTAATACAAAGTATCAGAATATTGATTCGCTTTTTCTTTTCCAAAAAGAATATTTGTCACCTCAGATATTGGCCTCATATAACCTAAGATGTCCAGAAATTGCCCTTTAAAGAATCAAAACATCCTAATTCATCTAGTCTCCAGACAAACCAGCATGCCTAGAAATTCTATGTTCCACAATAGCTAAGTTTGCTGTTGCAATGAACATTTGTCCACAGGAGTTAATTGCAGCCGTTTATGCTTAGCAATTACATTAATTTATATTCTCATAGTCGAAAAAGAAATAAAAAGTCATGTCCTCCATGCTTTTACTGCTATAGCAAACTTTTGTGTTTTGTGCTGATCAAAGATGGAATTACTAATTACTCTCTAAAAATCCGGAATTGTGAAAGCTGAACTTGAATATGAATTCTCCACGAAAACAAACTAAAATAGAAGTAATAGAAAACTAGAATAGAAACTGATAATCTACCCTAGAAGATTTTAAGAATCAAACCAAAAATTTAGTCAATGTTATACAGCAAAGTGGTATCAAATCCAGAGATAAACCCTGCACTCAAACTTCTAAACTCACGTCCCTCTAACCAGGAAAAGTCCTGTAAACAGTACTTGTACAGAATTAGAAAAACTAGGTAGTTCCAAATCCAGGACACATCAGAACAGTTGGCCAACAAAAGCAAGGCAGAATTTATCTCACATTGGAATAGACGATTCTGATAGGAGCGTATATTTGATCTCAATTTGTATCACCCTTTAATTCATCAGAATCTGAGTCACTTGCATTATAACCTTGAGAAACCAAATAAACTTCAATTAAAACAAACAAAGAAGTAGTTAAAGATTGATTCCTTTAATACGACGTAGTGAGTGAAAGAGTCGTACCTGGAGGTTTATCACTGACTGAAGATCGACTCTTCGAAGCTCTATTAATCCAAGCACGGCCCTTATTTATGAATAAAAGATAGATCCATTCAATACCACAAAACTCAAAACAAGTAAATAGGAGATTAGAACTCCAATGGCAACAAAGAAGAACAAATTTCAGTAAACAAGAAAGACAAAAATAAAATCCTACTATCAAGCAAATTGAGATAAGCGCAGCCGCGACATCAAGAATAAATATTGCAATGCTCACTGGGTTTGGTAACTAGTACTAAGTTCGAAAGCTTTCTAATTTTAGTTCATTAAGACCCAAAATAACAAAATCATTGATTATGAGTATATTCTTAATACAACATTTAGCCCAATTGAAGTAAACTTGCTCTAACCAGAAACCAAAATAGCTTGGAGATAAGAAACCTATAATGAAACAAATTCAATATATACACACAAACAAATTATCACAATGATAGACACGACAAACAGATAAAAATGCGAACCCAGAATCACAAACAAGATAATAAACAAAAAGGAAATAAAATTGAAATAGAAACATAAACAGTAATGGACCTTTTGGGCATCTCTAGGAACACCATAGCCACTGAAGTACATTTGCCCAACAAGGACCTGCATTGACGAGTCACCCTTCTTGGCCTCCTTGAGAGTATCTTGGAACCACCGTTTTACACAATCTGAAACCACCTGAGCCAGTGGCACCCTCTTTTGGCCCTCCCAATTGTCCTCCATTTTAGGCTTCTTCACTGGCTCCGAGTCAACTCGAACCGCAGAAGTCGGCCTCCTTGTTTCAGATCGAATTCTCAAAAAAGGTGGCGGCTTTGAGTGTTTTGGCCTCACTCTTTGCAGCCTCTCGGGTGATGAAGAGACCGCCTTGGCAAGTTCTTGCAGTTTTGTTGCGGTTGATGAAAGTGATTTGCCCATATAACCAAAATGGAAAAAAGAAAAAGAAAAATGTTCCCTTTATGTTATTTATAATATAAGGTGATAGAAATAAGAAGAAAAGTTGCGACTTTATTTATACAGCCGGACCTTTTATCATGACTCCTGCTCGTTGTCTTTATAGCTGTTTTCGATTTTATCTAGTTTCCATGGTCACAGTTCGTGGGTTTGTTTCGGTTTTAAGCTCAATCAAGAACAAAGAACAGCATGTTCCAGATCTTTATTTAGGGTAAGAGGCTTGTTCTCTTCTCTATTTTTAGTTTTTTATATTTTTGTAAAATAAAAACCAATCACTCGATCTTATCAGCTCGTTTGATGAGATTTTTATAGAAAATTGTGTCCAAATTTCATGATATAAGATCTTATGTAAGTTTAAAGCCATAAGGTCTTATGTAAGTTTAAAGCCATAATATATACTTTTATTTTATTGAATTGAACTCATAAATGCATTATATGAGCTTAGAACCTACTACATAGCTGTTTTTTTTTTTTTTTTTTTTTTTTTTTTGGTATTTAAAGTGTTCGGGTCCAGTTTGTACGTACCTTAACTAATCTCTCGAAATCTTGAAGTTAACAATCAAGTAAGCCTCTAATGATTATTCTTTATTAGTAGTTGTCAGGATTCGAACTCATGACCTTTTAAGTAATATACCCAAAAGTCTCAAACCAACCGCTAGAACTTATATAATAACTCACACAAATATATATGGGTTTCTGACATAATAAAGAAGAATGGATCCACAATATAGGTTAACATTTATAAATCCCCTTAGGCATCTCTTACATACAAAACTACCAAGGAGGAGAGAACAACTTCATCTGCAAGACGTTTGGATAAAATTCACCTCAAAAAACTGACTCAAGAAAAAAGGGAGTTCAATCATGTATATATATACCATAACAGTTTATCAAATTAACGATGTGAAATAAATACAACTTCTAATAAATGAGATTAGAAATATTTTTTTTAAACATAACAACAGAGAGTTGAGAACTATTAGGGATATCTTAAGGAGATTGTTCACGGAATTCACTCTTACTGTTTGTTGAGATAACTGAGAGTCCAGAACTATTGGGGATACGGGATACCTGAATAGGCTGAATGAGATCATTTTCTTTGAACATTATATATAATGACTTTCGGTTGAATGTCTGTTGCTTTTGCCTCTAAAATGTTGTTTTGCGAGCTCTCATCTTGGCCACAAATTATATTTAGCATATTAACACACTTTGACGCCCAATTTCTGTTGGGGAAATTAGAATTTTCTCACCATATTTCTCCCATTATTTCTCTCTTCTCTCTTCTCCATTGGACCTCCCCTTCCTTGCATTTCCTTAAAACTTTTCCTCCTCTGTAAGACTTTTGTTCATCAAGTGCTTGAAGAGCCCCCATATTAATAAAACATCACTTAAAAATTGAGATTGTATTATAATTTCTGAAGGCATTAGAATACCAATGGCCAATTCTGCATGGGGTTATGGAGTTCCCATGATAAGTGTTGTTGGGGATAGCTTTTGTGTCCCTTATACAATGGAGATTACTGTGAAGAAAAGAATTCAAGGATTCTCCAAAGCACATTATGATGTATTTGATTCTAGTGGAAATCTCCTCCTCCAAATCGATGGTAGTGTCTGGAAAATCTCCAAGAAACGAGTCATGCGCGATCCTACAGGAATTCCTCTCCTTACATTAAAACAAACGGTAAGGCTTCTTTTAGAAAGACACTTTAAACAGCTTCGTGGTATTGAACTGATATATACACGCATGTATTCTGACGTGGTATAGATATGTAATTTCGGTCAGTCAGCTAAATGGCGCAAAGTTTGGACGGTTCATCCGGGAGAAAATTCAGATGACATTCTCTTCAGAGTAGAGGAACGTAGTCCTGTCCAGCTCAAAACAAGGCTGGATGTGTTCTTGCCTGACAATGATAATAAAAAAGCTGGTGACTTCTATGTAACAGGATCCTTTGCTTCTCTATCTTTCAAAGCGTACAAAGACAAATCTCCCATTGCACAGGTATTAGGTTCTCTCATGAGATTATAAAAACTCTGTGAAAACTGTGGTTACGTTTCAAATTAATCGATCTTACAGGAATACATAACATGGTGATTTTGCAGGTGCATCACAGCTATTCATGGGGAAGTTTCTGCAAAGGTAGAGAAAGCTTCAAAGTGAGAGTTCAACCAGAGGTGGATTATTCATTTATCATGGCATTACTGGTGATTCTTGAAGAAAATGAAAATTGAATTAGCTTATTACTAACCACATTTGTCTGATTTTTTTTTTTTTTTTTTTTAATTCTAATGTACCATATACATATTCCTTTTTCATACCATTTCATCACTAATTGGGTTTTCCGATTCAAGCTTATCTACATTTATAATATAAATTCTGTATGATAAGGATGGCATTATATTCAGAATAGATATCAGTGTAATTATAACAAAATTCGGCGGAGAATTTGTTCATGGATGCTTCAAATTTAAGCACATCCCTCCCAATCTCTGGGTATAACAATGTTGGATATGATAAAAGATAACAACATCCGCAATAAGCTAGCATGTTCTCCGAAGTGTCCATTTCTGGGTAATTCAGATAGTTACAATTGACGATATTCGCGATTTAAGTGGGAGATCATGGGCCGAGGCAAGGCCGGCTCAAGGGTAGGTAGGTGAGGCACCTACCTAGGGCCCCCAAAAATAGGGATCCAATTTTTTTATAAATTTTTTTTTGAATATATTACAAAATGGAAAATTGTGTATAATTTTTTATCTAGGCCAAGGGGCCCCCCAAAAAAGGCCCAAAAAACCAAATTTATTATAAACCTTTTACGCTATATTCCCACCCAAAGTTTGACGAAATAGCAAGTTTGTATCTCTAGTTTTATATATTCTAATTTACACCCCTAAATTAACACATTGAATTTCTTTTAACAATGAAAGGCTAAAATAGTCATTTACGTGTCTCAAATTACCCACCCCAAATTCTATCTCAAAATTCGACTTTCACATAAATCATCTCCACCCCTCTTTCGCCGTCGACTGTTTGGAGCTGATTCTGGTCAATTGTCTCACCAAAATCGACCGGAATCATTACTTTATCATTTTTCAAGTGTTATCCTAACCTTGATAACCCTCGATTTGGCCAATTTTTTACGAATTTCGCAATCCAACTCCATAACGCACAACAGCCATTTCTGGCCTTTTCGGCATGTACCCGACACTGTTAGCCTTCCCCGACACCACCATCTTCCTCCCCCCGGCCCTCTCACCAAAACCCCTATCATACCTCATTTGTTTACTCCGTCAATTGCCAGACACCGATACCTTTTGGGTCATGACTTCTCAAACATTTTCCGACCAATCTTGGCATTGGAAATCACTCATTTCACCACCCATCGCTTCTCCAACATTTGCTCTCCAAAACCCCTCACCAATCTGATCCCGTTAGCCTGCCGTCCACCTCTCCTAGTGATTTTGCATCTCTAAAGGTAAGAAAAATAAATTTGAAATAATTTTTTTAATATATGCTTATATTTTTATAAGGCCCCAAAGTAACTCTTGTTTAGGATCACAAATGTTCTTGCCCTACACCAAGGTGATGGATTATTACGCTAGTCTTTTTTTAGGATTAATCGAGGTGTGCATAAACTAATCCGAACACTTAGATAAAAAAAATAAAAAAATTATCCGAAGTAAAACTTTTAAATGCAGTATATATTTTTTTTAATAATACTTAATGAACAAGAGGGTACTTTGAATATTTTTTAATAAATAAAATTTGGTATATAGGAAACTCATATTCTAAATTGTTACTTATTTTGATTTGTCATATATTTCCGTACTTCAATATACTGAATGCATAATATTATCTAATGTTGCTTGTCGTCCAATAATAAACGACTTGTTGTTTACGGAATGATTCCATGTATGACTAGTCGTTCAAGTTTATTTCTTGCACGAACCCTCATTATTAAANAAAAAAAAAAAAAAGCCCATAAGACCAAATTTATTACAAACCTTTTGGTTATATTCACACCCAAAGTTTGACGAAATAGTAAGTTTGTATCTTTAGTTTCATATGTTCTAATTTACACCCCTAAATCAACACATTAAATTTCTTTTAACAATGAAAGGCTAAAATAGTCATTTACGTGTCTCAAATTACCCACCCCTAATTCCATCCAAAAATTTGACTTTTACATAAATCATCTCCACCCCTCTTCTGCCGTCGACCCTTTGGAGCTGATTCTGGTCAATTTTCTCACTAAAATCGACCGGAATCATCATTATATCATTTCCCAAGTGTTTTCCTAACCTTGATAACCCTCGATTTGGCCAATTTTTTACGAATCTCGCAACCCAACTCCATAGCCCACGACAACCATTTCTGGCCTTTTCGGCATGTACCAGGCGTTGTTGGCCTTCCCAGACACCACCATCTTCCTCCCCCTAGCCCTCTTACCAAAACCCCTATCATACCTCATTTGTTTAATCCGTCAATTGCCGAACACTGATACCTTTTGGATCGTGACTTCTTAAGCCTTTTCCAACCAATCCTGACATTGGAAATCACTCATTTCACCACCCATCGCATCTCCAACATCTGCTCTCCAAAACCCCCCACCAACCTGATCCCGTTAGCCCGCCGTCCACCTCTCCTAGTGATTTTGCATCTCAAAAGGCAAGAAAAATAAATTTGAAATAATTTTTTTAATATATGCTTATATTTTTAGAAGGCCCGAAAGTAACTCTTGCCTAGGATTACAAATGTTCTTGAGACGACCCTAGGCCGAGATGATGAATTGTTATGCTAGTTTTTTTTTAGGATTACTCGAGGTGTGGATAAACTAGTCCAAACACATGGTTAAAAACAAAAAAAAAAAAAAAAATCTCCGAAGTAAAATTTTTAAATGCAGTATATATATTTTTTTTAATAATACTTAATTAACAAGAGGGTACTTTGAATAATTTTTAATAAATAAACTTTGGTATATAGGAAAATCATATTCTAAATTGTTACCTATTTTGATTTGTCATTTATTTTCGTACTTCAATATACTGAATGCATAATATTATCTAATGTTGCTTGTCGTCAAATAATAAACGACTTGTTGTTTACGGAATGATTCCATGTATGACTAGTCGTTCAAGTTTATTTCTTGCACGAACCCTCATTATTTAAAAAAAAAAAAAAAAAAAAAGTTAAGAAAAAAAATCCCATAAATCACATACGCAACTTCAACAAAACCCATTGCAATTGTATAAGCTTGAAACTAATTTCTTTTTACAAAATTATATACCAAACAAAAAATCATATATACACATAAATCTTAAAGTGAAACTCTTGACTCGTTTGAAAGAACGATATTCAAGGTTTAAATCCAAAGGACATGCTCCGAACCCCTATAAAAAAAAGTTGGATAAAAAATAAATTCAAACATCATCATACAGAATCGATAAGACAATTTGTGATGATCAGATGATGTAATTCTTCGAACCCTATTAACAAAATCCAGATAACTTAAAGTAATAGTAAGAAATGTTTAACATTAGCGTATTTTAAATTATCAGAAACAAAATAATATTAGATTTTGTTCAACTAATTTTGTTTGATATTATGACCATTCTCTCTTGTATTTTCCAGCCATCCGACTTAAGTCTTTCATAAATTACGACTAATCAAATTATAAAATGAAAAGATAAGCAATAGCTTGATACAATTTTCCCCAAATTAATATTAATTTAGTAGTTCTATAAGTGTCAAAGCTTATCAGTATTGGAATCTTATGTTGTGTGATAATGATAAGAATGCCATCGTATTCAGAATCCTTTTCAATGCGATTATAATTAATTTATTCTTATTCTGCAAATTTTCCACTCCCACTGTGTTCAGGAATCAAGATGATGACATAAAGTAAAAGTTGATTTAACAAAGAAAAAGATGTTGATATAGTCTTCCAAACAAGATAAACTTTCTTCCCCCCTTTTCCCTGGAAAGTGGATGGATTATTCTTTGGAAAAGTGCCCCAATATCTCTATTTTTCACAAAAAAAAAAATTGCTAGCTCAAAGAGGAGGAAACCGAAACCCGTAATTTAGGTAATAAAGAGGTTTAGGAAGAATTCACTGAAAATAATTATCTCCAAGAAAGAGAAAGTACAACTACGTATATATACATTATAACTGTTTACCAAATTTGCGGTGTGGGATAAATAAAATTTCTAGCCGTTTTTATAAAATATTTTTTGCAGTAAACACTTTTGAAAAATACCTTATCAGAATGCTGCATGTTGGCTTTATTGCATGTTTTGATAATGATATAACATAAATAAGCATATTCGAATATTTTTTTATTTTTATTTTTTTATAGGAATCATATGCTAAAATTTTCTTTTCTTGGGTTATTTTATTTTATTTTATACCAATTTTGCGATTTTTTGTGTTGTATTAGAATAAGAGTTTCACGATTCTCCTCAATATTTATGCTTGCAACTAAACCCACAATAAAATGGAGTTTTCATTAAGCATATTCTTATTCTTTTAACTTAATTTGACTATTCTAAAAATCAAATATATGATGCAAAAATTTCTAATGAATATGGGATTATTTATAAATTAATTTATGTATCCGAATTTGAATCGAATATGAGTTGAATATTCATCTTTAATAAAGAAAATCCAAACTCAAACTCACATATGTCCTTTTCTTAATATTTCATAATTTAACCCACTTGTGCCGTATCTCTTTTTCTTTAATCTGTTGATACACAGGAATAATTCATTATTAATTGAATATATAATTGAAGACAAAGTCGATTATGATTCTCCTGCCAACCATATGTTTTATTTTTTTATTATTATTATTATTTTTAAATATTAAAAATAAAATGCAAGTTGAATAAGATACATTAGATCTAACATGAACCCCGTTCAATACATATGCTACAACAAGATCAAGAAGGTCATGATAGTCATTCGTTTTAAGGGACAAAGGCATAGTTTGGACGAAGAAAAGTCGAGACCCTGCACCCATATATGTCATTTCACGTATGAGAGAACGGGCAACAATTTCATGGGTCTCAACAACCTTACAAAAAGGCAAAACATGCGAGAAACATTTAGTGTATTTAACATCCACGTCACGCTCACAAAAGGCATTATGTAGATAGAGGCAACGTTACGATTGAATTCTTCTCCGTGCCATATTAAAATTGTACATTGAATTTGTGTATATTATAATTGAAAATGATGTATATGCATGCATTTCTAATCTCATACTAAGATTTATTAATTAGACATTGACTATAAGTGAATTATAATTTCATTTATAATATTCCAGCATTTAAATTACATTATAAAAAAAAAATTATAATAATTTACTATTTTTCTCATTTCTGGTGATAGTTGGTTGCACAAGAAGGGTCCACGTGGTAAATGATGACGCAAAAACTGAGATGAACGCATGATTGATTATCGGGGAAACAAACATGATGAGATCGGATCTTGATATCAAAGGGTAATCCTTGCGGACCCACCTGATTATGTGTATCATATGAGCTGTTAACGAGTCTTGCCGTCCACGTGTCCTATGATGTTGCCGTCAATTCTCAAATGATTATAAAATGCCAACGCGGAATGCTGCTCCTCCTTAATTTAATTTTTTAATCAATTTATTTAATTTTGTTTTTTTATTTTTCTTAAAAAGTGAAAAAATTGAGGTTATTATTAGAAGGCCGGCTAGATAAATTCAAAGGGTTGGTAGAAAGGCTGCGGCGGATCATCAATCGCCATCCATATTGATAAGATATTTACCAATATATACGACTATTAATTGAGATTAATTTCCATCTTTAATTATGATTAGGAAATAAATAATTGAAACAAAATTATTAAATAATCCCATCTTTATTACACGATCAAAGTACCAATTAACATACAAATTCGGATCTAACCAAACGGGTCTAACTCGACCCATCAAACCACACCTGAAAACAATGAAACAAACAAACAGCAAAGACAGAAACTGAAACAGAAAAGCAAGCAAACCACTCCTCGCGAACAGGGGCCTTAGTTACTCACATCTCTCTGTCCAATCAGAAACCGACACACGTGCAGTCTTTTATTTATTCCACAATATTATCCTATTTACGGCTGCACCTGATCACACAAAGAGTCGTTTTTAAGGCCTTTGATTAATTAATTATAGTGCAAGAACCAGACCCGGAACAGATTTTCCGGCCAGATTGGAGAAGCTACTCTCCCAAACGGACGGGCAATGCACGGGATTAATCTCCACCGTGGATTTTGCCAGTGCGTTTCCAAGGCGAGTAACAGTAAGAGAAGTGTTGAAATATTCTCTCACTTGAGTAATTATCCCATCAGTGACGGTCCAGGCGTGGACCCAGGAGATTTGACGGCTGTGATCACAGCCCTCGGCGATAACAACGTTCCCGAAGGAGGTGATGGAAAGGGGTTTGAATTCGAAGGAAGGATCAGACGGTGATGAAGCGCCAGTGAGAAGGTGCATCATAAACTGGTGAGTCGGCGGGCCATGGAACCACCACTCGAGGTCAGGAGCTAGAATCTTGTGAACCGTTTGTACGTCACCTGCGCTTAAGGCATCATAGAGCGCAAGAACCACGTGTGGATTCTCGAGTTTGAAATCTGCCAGAGTTTCTTCCTGAGAGTTAGCCAGTTCAGAAAACGAAAACAGAGACACAGAAAACGGAAACAGAGAAAACGAAAACGAAAACAAAGATTTGGAAAATGAGATTGGGTAACCAGGAGGAACCGGTGAGGGTTTATTCGGGGAAGGAATGAGCTTTATATAGAGGATCAGCCAGATGGGGCGGGATCCTCTGCGACATTTCCAGAGTAAAGTATTTAGAAGGGTTATTTGGGAAATAACGAAAATTTAATGACGTGGAAGATTCTACTTAGTTTTGAGGACGTGGATGATCCAATGGATATAAAATTATTACTTTTGTACACGTTTCTGATTGGCGTGGAAACAGGCTAGGGAGTAGCGAGCAGTCAAGCCAACTTTCTTTGACTTTTTCTTATTTCTATTTTGACTTAGGCTATTTAATTTTAATTATCCAGTTAATTACTTGCTAATTGTGATTTATTCTTAAAGTGGAGTGTTTTTGAGTTTACGCTATAGACTTGGCGAGAGATTGCCGCAAGGAAGCTCTCCTGAAAATTAGAATTAAAGCCATGAGAGGGACAAAACATATTCCTGATCCTGATGTCTTCAATTTTAAGAAAACTAAAGATTTAGTAAATGAGTAATTAGTTAATTAATTAATTATAGATCTTGAATCTACATGTCAATTTCAGGGGAAAAATAATTTTCTCTTTTGACTCCGTAAAAGAAGGGAGTTGAACAATAAAGATTTGTTTAGACTTTGAATATTCACATTCAAACAGAGTCTATTATGGTTTGCGTTCTATTTACGTGAAACTCTAAGTGGCAAAAATCTCGCAACTAATAACCATTCTTTCATGGTTAAGTGGTCGAATATAGACCCTTGAACGTATTATTCAAGAGGTTCTGATTATGATTATCTTTGGTTGCTAATAGAGATAATTACTGGAGGTTTACTTGGTTGTTAATTTTAACGTCTAGGAAATTAATTGAGGTACATGCAAACTGGCTTGGACACTCCCTTTCACCTAAAAAAAATAAAAACTCGCTACTTGTGATATGAAAGTATTCTTGGTGAGATTGCCATAAACTCGATGTAAAGATTTTAAGATTAATAATAGTGTAAGCAAAACCAGTATTAAAGAAGGATATGCTGAGAATAGGGTTGGAATCTTTGGTTGATTGAATTTAATAAGTGGGAAAATGTTGGCAAAAATGTAATAGCAAAGAAAAGTTGGGTCCATTGCAAGACAAAGATGGGTTTTGTCTTTTAGAATAGACAAGAAAATTGTCCTGGTAAAATACAGTGAGGTGCTAGACTGGCATACATAATCAGAGGGCTAAAGTCGGCCTGGCATTTTCGGTAGTCATTTTATGAAACAGAGTTTGAGTTGATTCCAGGCAAGTGGAAATCCTGTCAGCCCATGGATAGGAAGAATACAGAATTGACAAAAGACAAGGTCTTGTCAGTTTGCCCCGGAATAGTAGATTCCTGAGAGATTGCTAAAGGGTACAGGATGATATTGCTAGCTGGAATTTCATTTACCTGAAAATTGAATTAACCATTTCTGGGTTTGATTTGAGTTGGCAAAATGTAGTTTTTAAGACTTTCCATTAAGCAAACTGTTTTTGCAACTAATTAAACAGTCTGTTAGAGTTTAAACAGCCTAATTATTGAACAAAGATTAGAGAATTAGCTATACATCTTTTTACTCCCCTAATCCTACCTAAACTGTTTAGCAGCCTACATTATTCCTGGGCTAACCTGCTATAATCCCCACCTAAAGCATAACTGATGTTACATGTATTTTATATATTAAATTCTCATCTACCTTATAGTACTGGAATTTGGACTATGTTTTAAATTCTATGCAAGTTGATATGAAGAACCAAGTTTCTGTTTTAATCTAAGTCTCCTCAGTTTTAAAAGATCTAAAAGTTCAGATCAGAAGGGGATCCTAGTCCCCAGTTTGGGATTATGGTCATATGGCTTTTCGAGAAGGCGTAAAGCTTCCATGACCATTGTTTTGCAGCTTAAGCGCTGGTCTTTCAGGCTATTTTCTCAATCTAATACAATCTTCATTAAACTATATTATCAGTTTTTGCCAACCAAAAAACTACTACTCCATTACACCGTCCAGGAGCACCATATGATAGAAAACTATGTACATAACAGTGTGCAAGAACAAATAATGGCAATAAGATTTTGTAAAGTAGAGATATAAAATGCAAAAGGTGAAAGATATAAGAAGACAAGAGGTAACTTCCATGACTCTTTTAACAGCAGAGTCAGTTTCCTCATAGGACAAGCAAACAGAACAAGAGTAATGACAAAAACTAAGATATTTCTCATTCAATTATAGAAGTATCAATTATAAAAGAGCAATGCTAGTTTTACAAAGACACATACAAAGGGGGCATACAAAGATAATCCCCACCCTTGATTTTCATGATTTCTCTCTCTCTCTCTCTTTCCGTTTTTTCCTTGTTTTTTTCTTCTGGATGATGTCACTTTGTAGCCCTCTTTGTATGGGTCTTTGTAAGGATAGCACTTTTCATTATAAAATCATAAGGCAGACTAACTACTCAATATTGGTCACTAACATGCATTTTTAAGTACCTGACAACGATCTAATTTGTCGATTTATTGCTAATACGAAACCAGATGATATCATAGAGATGCATTATGAGACGTTTTAAATGTTCTTATGAATGCAGAGATGGAATTCCAGAATTGGACTACAGTCACTGTCATCAAAATGAGAATCATGACAGAAACAATAAAGTGGGATACAAACTCTGAAGCTAGTGGAATTTTATGCCTATGTTGCTGCTTTGTAAGCCCTATTATAGAAATCTATTGACAACTTGAAAATGTTGGCCATGATTATGACCAATCTATTGACAACTTGAAAATGTTGGCCATGATTATGACCACAAAGAGAAAGTGATGTATCACTACCTAATCAAACAGCAAGATGTATATTGCTAATAAGAGGAATCAATACCGCTCACCAATATGGCCCTCTTTATCATGTGACATGTAAATACTCCACTACCCAAAAGTGTTTGTGTGCGAAATAGAGAGAGTTTAGCGTGAAATTTCTAGTAATTGCGCATAACATTAAGGTATTACCACACTTTTTTGACAAATAACAAAGATAGGCAGATAGAAGAGCAATACATCCTTCCAACACCCACTCTTGTGCCACCAGAGAATGTATCTAATAACAGTAACATCACAAAAAATGAACCAGTTATAGAAATAAATAGGTGCCAGGTTTGGTCCTCTACATCAAACGATGGCCAATCTTCCTAGGATCGACATGAAAACAGATTACAAAGAAAGTAACTAACAAATAAGCATGACCCATGGGGGAAAAAAATTGTTAGTCCTGATAAATATTGATGAAATATCAACAAAGAACACATACTCCAGCTCAAAATTTTCAAATATATAGAGTGCTGCTTATGTCTTCTACAAAAATCAACTGTAGGCTACTCCTTAAACCTCTAACCAGTCCAACACTCCAACCAAAGTTTCTCCTGGTATCAAGAGTTCTTTTGAAAATTAGAAAGAAAAATAATTCACGTATACAATATTCGAGTCTTGTAGGAATAAACTACTACCAACCAGAAAGATTGCAATCCCCTAATATATTATTAGACAAGGGCATCTTTAGATTATAAAGAGCAACCACACTAATGGAAACTGATTAAATGCAAAGAAATAATTTCAGATAGCCAGATTTGTAAGAACAAACATGGAAATGTGTAATGGATTTGAATTCACTTAAAAACAAGAAAAATTTACAGCTTCGTTTGTATATTATCATAAATTAATTTCGATTGACTCTTTTTGCTGAGAATCTTCCCTCTGTATCACTGGTGGAGCAGGAGGGATCATGGTTTCTTCCTTACCTCTTGCACAAGAATCTTCTATTACCGAAGAAAGCTGTCTTTCAGGACGACAATACTCCTTTGAAACTCTGCTAGGACTAGGAGAATTAGCTATACTAATCTTGGGTGTGCTGAAGCCGCTCCCAAGTGGAGAACTTGGTCCAGATCTGAATTGAGTTGCTCCATCTTCACGTGGCAAAGGTGACATCAGTAGCTGATTGCCATGATTCATTGGTTTTCTGCATAACTTATCTTCTATAATATCATATGCATTTGCTGTTCGAACCTCCTGGGCAAGAGAACACCAGCAACAGCAAAGCCACAGAGTGCAATCACTAGCTGCTGGTTTACCACAACAGAAGTTATAAGCTGGTAAATTAAATCTCTTTCTCATTTGAATCCTCCAAAAGCCACCATAGAGTAAACCAAACGCACAAAGAACAATTCCAGTAACAGATAGAGCCTCTCTGGCAGTCTCGTTATCAATGTTAACAGCAGCCAAGTTGAAAATCCAGAAAGGAGCCATACAGAACAAGATAAAAGTAGCAATATGAACATACATGTTGCCAAACCCAAGTCTCTCCATATTCCACCCAAAGACACAAAAAGAACAAAAAAGTGAGAGGTATGCCAAAGAAATATCATCCCAAAAATCAAATATCCCACCGCTCCATTGCAGTTGCTCATCTCTTGATAAAAATGAAAATTTTTTCTCTAGTGATATTGTACGCTCTGGCCTAGCACTTTCACCAGCAGTAACAATCTGTGATTCCTCATCTCTCACACAATCATAATCCCTCCCAAGTGGGCTCTTCATGGAGTAAAGACCAGCAATTGCAGGTGCAGCTATTGCAACAGATATGCATATCCCAACACCTAGGGCAGGTCGTTCAGATCTCCTGTACCCCACATTTAGACCACAGAGCGCATACTGAGCGAAGCAATTCAGATGGAGCAGAAGAACAACAACCATCATGTGCCCCCACTCATGGGGCTTATAAGTCCCATTTTTGCAGTAAATTTTTCTGAGTCTAGAAATGTCTTCTGGTTTCCACCTACAAAGAAGTGCAAGGTGGTAGAATCTCTTAGGGTGCTGGTACAAACACATAAGAGTAAACAGAGCATTGAGAATTTGATTATTAACTTCAAACCAGACATCTCTCTGGGACTTCCTTGGAATTGCTTGGTTTAACATTCCAGTCATAACAAGGAACAAAATTGCACCCGAGATAGCAACAATTAAGATCCACACAAACAGAGCCATATTCATTGGATCTCTTATCCACGCTATGCACATTTTCTTGAGTGATGCCCAATTAATCTTTCGTGAAAAAACCCCATTAAATCGTTCTCTAAAACCATGACCACTAGAAGAAGGCACAGATCGTGAAATCTCATCCCGCTCCACAGCTATCTGTTTGAATTTGGCTGATGCAGCACCAAACTTGAGCAAACTTATTCTATCAGTAATATAACTAATTGTATTATAACTCTTTCCAGGTTTTTCACTGCTTAATAGCTTCTTTCGAGATGCCGAAATATCAAAAGGGGTCTGATTATTCGTTTCAGTATTATTAGATTCTTCAACTACCTCCTTGCTTTTCCCATTATTAGTCAAAGCCATTCTTGTATCAAAATTTAGCTTCCTCACCAACACAATAAACTACCCTTATAAATTTACTCTACAAACTCAGACCCACAAAACACATTCTAACAAACTTACAATCGTCATTCACAGCTAAAAACAGTTGCAAATGAAACAAAAGAATCTACAAGCTCAAGAGTCGCTATGAACAAAAACAACCAAGATTGAATTTTGATTGCTACAACCTTGACCCAGTAAACACCATACAAACTATAATAAAAATTTATCAACAAATGAAGCTGATAACAAAGTACTGCACGATCCTAAAACAATTATTTTTTCTCTTTTATTGATACCAAACATATGAAAATCCAAAATTTAATGAACTAGGAAGGCACAAAAAGAAGGACAAAAGGGAAAACCAAGGCTGAAGAAAAGTATAAACGAGCTAATACGTACCCATATGAACTTAAAATGAAAGAAACGTAAAGGGCCTTAACTGGAGCAAGATGACGAAGCAATGAACGCGATCTATAATAAACTCTTAATATATAAATAAAACAAACAAAAAAGAAATAATATTTAAAAGCAGGTTATTGATTCTTCTTACTCAGAAGTCAGAAGAACCTGGGTTGATATTTGATAAGGCGAGATGCTTCGTGCGTGGTGGCAAAAGTATTTATGAATGAGTCTAAAAGTCTTGTGGGTGCCGACAGGTTAGATTAGGAATATTTAGGATACAGACTGCCTCTCCTGTCTTAACAAGTTCCAACGGCCCCAAGTAAACTATTGTTCACAAATTCATTAATAAATAATGAATAAAAATTTTCATTTTGTTTTTTTTCCAGTATCTTATATCTATATTTTGTTGTATACAGTTTCTTTCTATTACAATAGAAGACTTCTTAGTTCTTCCATCTATTAAATTGAAGCACTCGTAAACGAGTTTGAACATCCCAATCATTAGGAAAAAAAAAAAAAATCAGATGGCCCCATTTCAATTTAATAGTTGCAAAAGGTAATGATCTACTAGTTATTAGATTTAGTAAACACCCCACATAATAGTTGGAACTTGTAATTGATGGTTGCGTACACCTTGCAGATGCCAATTGCATGAAGAAAAGCTCTAATATGTCACATATTTGGTACAACGGTACAAGTAGGCCAAGTTCCTTTATATTTGAAACTAAAGTCAAAGAGTAAAAATCCATCCAACCAACCATAATCCTAGATTGAGGCTGAAGCAGCTTCTTCGAAGTTGAAAACCTGATACATACATAAACATATTCATCATCCTTTTCATTAATCAAATTCATTCAGCTTTATACATACTGTGAAGTAGTTCCTTATTTCAGTATGAAATCCCAGGATCAGTAAACAGCAATCCATCACCAAAAAACTCACAGTTCACATATGCAAATGTACCCACTCCCATTAAACCCAAACCAAGTAATTTACGTAAAGCAGATATCGTAGACTGTGTGAACTTGCGACGCAAACACATAATACGATAAGTACAATAATCCAGGGGTAAACAAGACCAAAGTACATGAATGTATGTATAAAATTTAGGTGAGGTCATCTCCCTCCAATTCTTTGGCCTTCAGCTTTTCCTTCACACGCACAGAAGGGTCGTCTCTCCAAGAGTCCTATACATTGGATTTTGGAAACAGAAAATTTCATCAGAAGATTGTAAAAACGTTAAAACTGAAATAAGATTGTTGATATCGTACTAGACAAGGAGTGATCATAAGATAATCCCAACACCACACACAAGAGATGCATATAAAACATATTCAGGAATTTGCATATGCATCATAATAAATACCGAGCAACTGGGGAAGAAATTGAGATTACATTTTCAAAACTTCCAGTATCTAAAGTTTGAAGTGTGATTGCAACCAAAACAATTAGCACCATTGCTACATAAAAAGATTTAAATCCAACATTAAAAGAGCTATATAATAATTGGAGAGAAATTACCAGAGGGTCATGCTATCAAATTCCTTAACAACATCAGTAAACTTTCCAATGTCTTCCTCATCAAAAGCAGCAATGTCCTAGCACACCACATGGAAAGAGGGCTCTTTGAGATTACAATATCACAAGAAATAAAGGTAACAGCAAGATTACGGAATGACTTATATAGGAACATATTATAAAGATTTGCCTTAGAAATCAAAATGCAAGTAACTATACCTACCGCTAACAATCTGATTCAGCGTTCCTGAAAAGTTGGATCCATATCCTGCAAGACAAGGTGATTAGCACCGTCAACATAAGCCAACACATGAAAATTAATTAATAGATCAAAAATAAAAAGTAAACCTAAACCTGGTATCGCTCTAATGCATTGGTAATTGCAACAACATCGCTCTTCAAAGTTGGCAAATGCCAGCATTAAAAGATGTCCTTTCACTCCATACTTAGCAAGTTGTTGTTGAGTGACTGCTTTGCTATCTCTTCAAAAATCTCAATTGCCTTCTGATATCTGAGAAATGTCAAAGCACGTCATGACACCCCAGTCAGTAACTTCTTATTTTTAATTAAACTATTAAGGGAGTAAAAAGAGAAAAGAGTACTGAAAATTTATGTGAAAGTAAGGTCTAACAAGCCCTGCACAGATAGATACCACAATCTTCACTTTCTGCTGTCATATTTACTTTGCAAGTTGCTGTGATAAACTTATGGGTATGTTACAGCTTATTATAGGTAACATATGTAAGCCAGAAAAACCTATTTTCAGACATATAAACCCTGTCATTCATTCATAAATATAAGCACTAAAGCTAATCAGACATAGCATGGATGGTAATATATCACATGTTAGCCAAAATCATATCAAATATAAGACTGATCATTGATACACAGTAGCCAAGGCGAATGTTAAGGATTCCCGTGAAACACTTCGCAGAAGTTCCAAGTATTTCCAAAGATGGTGCTTCCTAAGCTCTTACAAAGAATATGCAAAACAGCAACCACCACTTTGAAAGCATCAAGTTGCAAATTAAGAATCATAATGACAACTCATGCATATTTTTACTCTTCTCGATACTAACAATCCTTTATAAAAGTTTTATACATTCACTAATATGAACTATATCACATGATCATGAATATACAGTATCCAAAAGCAATATGACATCTCAAGACACCTGCACCAAAAGCAGTTGGCTTACTGTTCTAATTCAGCAGCATATTGTGCAACTTTCTGCTTGCACGGTTTGCAGAAGTTGTTACTTCTTCATTAGGAACATATCAGCTGCCTTCTCAAAGTAAACAATAGCCTGTTCAATGTTCTGTTCAGACTCATATAGTTCAGCAATTTCCTGCAGAGAAGAGAACAACCAGGTCGTTAGTGACTGAAAGTCATCATAAAGAAGGGAAAACCAACTTCTATAAGTTTTAACAATCGTAAAAAATGGCAAGGTTAAAAGTGTAGGACCCCAAAACATGTATAGACTTAGAAAATTCAAACTAAGATAAGAAATATCCAGGCATTACAATACCTGAATATCTTGCGGCCATGCTAGCCTCCAATATCACAAAACATATTACAGCCTGTTCCAGCAAGATATGGCCTCTGCACAAGTAAAACTTTAATGACATTTTCTCAACCTTTACAACCAAAATCCATCAAATAATACATAAGAAATGCAAGAAAACAAGCAAGACCACAAAATACTTGTTGACTTGGTTTCTTCATGAGCCAAAATGGACCTTGAAGAAAATTAAAAAGCAATTGAAATTGCAACATGTAACAATTAGCCAGGGTGAGAGCCACAAACTTACCTTTGGCATTTGTTTTCTTATAGCAATGAGCAGCATCAACATAAGCTTGGGCAGTTTCATGTTTGCTTTCCAACTATAGAAATAAGTCTATAATCACGTTTAGTCCTTAAGAACAATCGCTTAATAAATAAGTTCCTCTTTTCCTCTTTTAGTTCATAAAAGACTGCTATTAGTATTTACCAAACACCTAAAACATTACCTTATATGACAGTTCGCCAACTTGACATAAGTTGATCCAGCTCTATCCCCTGCAAAACCATATATAACCCATGATCATAAAACATAGCAGAGGCATGCGGTGCAGGTAAAATCTATTAACCAAAAATAATAAATTAATTAATTTGTACCATGAACATTATAGCAAACAACTTCCATTAGTCTCATAAAGCCCAGCAAAATTTAATTCATATGCCAAGTACCCATATCAGCAAAACTTTAAAACATTCATTAAGCTTGTAATCCAAAGAAAAATTCGCATTCTCAACTATCTAAAAGCATCAAACATTCACATAAAATTTCAACACATTATACCCATTGAATCTAACATTTCAGAGCAAAAAGACAACTTGATCAATTAGAAACTCATCAATTGTAAAAATTATATCAAACCCAATCGAAACAAACCCTAATACGCATCACAATCCATAATCAGAATTACCAATGGTAACAACAATAAACCCTAATACTCCCCGCGATCGTCGAAACATAAGTTTTCAACAGTTAAGAAAATGAAATAGAGTTTGAAAATTACATGACTTGGCGACTTGAAAAATTGGCAGCTTTATCAAAGAGATCGGCGGCGTCTTCGTATTTTGACCGAATAACGCCCCCAGCTATTGAGCTTCTTCTCCGCTTTTTTCTCATATTCTTCCGCTCGAGCCATCTGATCTCCCATTTTCGTTAACGTTCGCACAGAAATGAAATTGGAAGAACGATTTGAAAACAAAAATAAACAAATGGTGAAAATGAACGGGAATTGATAGGGTCAAGGGAAATGCTTGGTCTTGGTCGGGATTTGAGTCTCAGAGCCGCTTGCTAATGGTAGAGGTGGCTCTTCTTGGGCTTGATCTTGGGCTTGAGCTTGGGCCTGAGATTGGGCTTAACAAGAACGGAATGACAATTGAAAAAGGATAAATATGTAATTATTGAACCCATATCAATATTTAACTAGGCTTACATACCTCCCCAAAGTTTAATGAACTACTACGAGACCCCAAAAGTATTAGCAATCATCATTTACCTCCTCTCATATTTCATAAAATCATTACTTACTAATTACTATCCCGATCGTGATAATATTGAAAGACTCAATAGATTTTAATGACTAAACGGAGATAAGTGATCAAATTTTTTTTTTTTTCAAATTTGAGGAGACGTTATGATAATTTCTTATATCTTAGGGGGTTTTCTGAATTTTTTTTTTTTAATAAACATTAGTAGTAAAGAGTAATGACTCATTCAAACTACTTTCTTCTCTAAACATTAAAGATAACATCAACCAAACTTTTAAATATCTATTTTCATTAGAGGTTGAAGTATAGTTTTTAATAGATTAAAGACATTAACCACCCATGGGTGATCGGAAGGGGCAATACAGACTTTTAGGTGTATTACCTTAGAGGTATCGAGTTTGATTCCATTTGATTCGGTTGCAAATAGAGGTGACCATTAAATAATTTACCTGATCCTTAACTTCAAGACCTAAGAAGATTAGTTGAAGAGCGTGTAAGCTAGTTTGGACACCCCCGATCACACAAAATAATATATATAGATATTCATCATGGGTTTGATGCTTAGTTGTTTAATGAATGAAAGAATAGTGCCAACTCATGCCACCATCAATTCCTTAATTTCTTATTATTATAAAGTATAAACTAAAAATACATCAAAATCTTCCAAATCTTAGCATATCTTCGTTGAACCTATATCCATTAATATATCTCTTCATTTCATGGAGTTTGGACCATGGTTATTAGTATCATACGATACTCGATACGTATCATACGATACGATTCAATACAAGTTGTCAACGATACGTATCAGAGAGTGTATCCTAAACCTTTCGATATATTGATATGTATTCGTTCGTATCCTTAAAAATATCGATATGACTTTATTAATTTGGGCCAAAAGCCTAAAAAAAAATTTGGGTCGGAACCGGGTCATCCAACCCGGTTCATTAAAACCTGTCCAAATTTACTCATTTTGCATGGAGAAAGTGAAGAAGAACATGTGTTGCCCATTTTTTAAGATAATAATAATACAAGTGGAGATATAGATATTGACATTGATCTTGGAAATGATATGAATGGTTGAGAGAAAATAATATAAATTCTTAATTTTGTGATTAATTTTGATTATGTAATATCATAATTTAAAGCCAATAATACTACAAAATTCTTTAATTAATCTTGGGGATGATATTAATTTTTAGTAAATTTTGATTATTTTATTTATTATTTTTTTAATTTAAAAAAAAAAAGCGTATCCTACTATACAATACGATACGATACGCGATACACGATTAAAAAAATTAGGTTTTCGATACACGATACGATACGCAATTTGATAACCATGGTTTGGACCATGGTTATTAGTATCCTACGATATGCGATACGTATCTTACGATACAATTTGATATGGGTCGCCAACGATATGTATCAGAGAGTGTATCCTAAACCTTTCGATACATTGATATGATATATATCGGTTCGTATCCTTAAAAATATCAATACAAATTGATACAACTTTATTAATTTGGTTCGAAGGCCCAACAAAATTTTCAAGTCGGATCTAGGTCACCCAATCCAATTCACTAAAACCCGTCCAAATATATCCATTTTGCATAGAGAAAGTG